AAGAAAATGGTGAACATTTTTGTATTTTAGTTTGCTACTTTGTCAACGCAAAATGAAACCGGTCTAGATGGGAAAATCTAGACCGCGGTCAATATCGATTTCAGCCAATCATATTCGTGAATTCGGTAGTTCCCAGTCTTTGTGAGACGCAGCCATATAATAAGACTTATTATTTGACTTCTGATTGCCTTCCTTGACTCAAAAACGTCTTCTTAAGCCCCCTAATTTTCTAAAGTTACTCATTTTTTCACTGAGCGTTCAAGACCGATCCCGCGGATTTCTGGGGATTTCTCGTCCGACTAGCCTGTGATTGCAGCTCCTGTCATCGCGTCTGGTTTATTTTCAAGCTTATTTTTCTCTTTGTGTGGAATTTGAGTTCAGGTTTTCTGTCGCTAGTTTCAATTAATTTATTGCAGGTGATTTTAAGGTTACCGTATACCTTTAGAGGTGTCTCGCGTCCAAGCGATGTAGCGCGTCCGTGTTAAACTGTAGATACCTAAACCCCTATATCAAATTAAAGCTTATAGAGCTGGCTATCACACTATACCAAGAATTTTGAAAAAAAAAATGAATTGTCGAAATTTTTACGACCACTAAGTGCGAGCGCCCGAATCACCATTTTAAAGCTACAAGTCAAAGTCGAATTTGTTTTTCGCCAATTTAATTATTTCCTCGGTTTCATGACCCAAAGCATTAAAAAAAAGTGTCTGTGTTTTGCCATATTCAATTTCAGTGAAAAGTTATAGAACATTTTACAAATAGGATTAAACAAAATATTGAGTGATCTTAGAAAAATCGCTCTAGGAGAAAAAAAAATTGGAAATAAAAATTCACAGACACGTTTTTGTTGTTTATATGTCAAACTAGCTACTGTTCAAATCTGAGGGCAAACGAACAAATTTCCTTTGACTTCAAGCTTCCAAAAGGGACCCAAAAGATGATTCGGACGCTCACATTTAAAGGTCGTTATAAATTCGTCAATTCATTTCATGTGAAAATTCTTGGTATAGTGTGATAGCCAGCTCTATAAGTTTTAATTTGATATAGGGGTTTAGGTATCTACAGTTTAAACCGGACGCGCTACATCGCTTGGATGCGAGACACTTCTAAAGGTGAATGGGCCGTAAGAAGTCATTCATCCTTATATTTAGCCCAGAATTCGACATAAAATTCTACATACTGTTTTAGCTGGGAAAATTTAGCCAGGTTGCTTTATTCTTACACCTTTATTCGTTACAATGATACTTTGTGGGATATATTATAGGAACCTTTTTTTGTATGTGTATTATGTTTTTCTTCCTCACGTTATTAATATTGTCCTTCAGGTTTAGACAAAATCGAATTCCTTCAGCAACACGAAAACGAAGAAATCTATAAGCTTGCCTTTGGAATAATCGATCATTACTTCTCAAATGAGGTACGTTCCTTTAATGTTTTAACCATTAATTCGAAAGAGGTTTCAGGCAGAAGGAAAAAAATCAGATAATTTGAGCAGCATTTGGCCATCAGTGTGGAGTGTTTTAGGAAGAAATGTCCGTCAAGTCCGCTTAACACTGCTACCAAATGAATTTTATCGGATCCAGGCTCACTCCGAGCACTTCACTGTTTAAGATCATCACTGCTATTATATGGAAGCCGAAAGTCTCCCCGATCTTGTCCATGCCGCTTTAAAATGTTTATTTTTTTGTTTGTTTTTTGTTTTGTTTTGAGTTCGCGATTATTATATGGAAGACTGGGTTTAGACCTGATGAGTGCCAGTGTCATACTAACTACTTAATAACCGAGAGTGAGGTCGTTACGGGAAAATCTCAAACTGAGGCCTTGCCGTATTGACCGAGCGATAGCGAGGTCAATACGGTA